AAATCAGTGCATAATTAGGTTAACCAATTAAACAATTAAATTAATTTAGTGAAACTATAGTTAAATAGGTGCAAAATTAAATTAATTCAGAGAAAAATTAGTTAATTAAGTGTATAATTAAATAAATCCGGTGTAAAATATAGTTAATTGAGTGCACAATTAAGATAACCAGTGCTAAATTTAATTAATTTAGTGCACAATTAAGGAAAATCAGTCCACAATTAAGTTAATTCAGTTAACACTTTAGTTTATTTAATGAAAATAATATTTTATTTAAAAATTACTTTATTATGACATGTTATGCGTATACAGTATGCACAGTACTTCCACCATCTGCAAACAGCTCGATATCCATGTATACAGTTGCAATAATTATACGTATTCACTCGACTCTAAGTTTTGGCAGAGTTCCGTAAAATTTTACTGTTATTATTGTATGCATGTGGTGTATGTGGTGGTTGACATACATTTTGCTCAAAGACTTATGATAATTTGACTAATATTCAACTAACTTTGAATGTTTACTTATGTTAAGCGCTATAAAGCTACGTATAGATTGGTCATTATCACAACCGTTATGTCGCGTGTAACAAATTATAGATTAAATCTTTTTAATAATTATAACTTCATAACAGAGTGAATGTATGAAAATTAAAGAAACTAATTATATATAAAGAGTTTTATATCAAATACTCAGTACTGTAACACTCACTCCACGTATATATTCTGTTGATATATTAATTATTTTTTATTAAAACCGGTAATTATTAATCTAATGGTTTATTTGCAACTCTGAATAAATAGCGTATTTAATGATCTGATTATATGTTTAATGTTTATATATTTCTCATCGTTTGGATACCAATCCTCAGACAAACACTAAACACATGTATTAATGAAGTCGTAAGCGATTTGAGTCCAGAATTTCTAGTTTACAAACTAATACATCGATGAATATTCATAACATTCAAGCCATTCATATAAGGCTTAAATGTAATTCTCTATTATGTAATCAGATATTGAATTAAACATAAGTTTGATTAACACAATATTTATGATAACTTAATAACAATAATTTAATAATAAAAATGTTTTGTATATACTATATAGTCACTAAATACAATGCATAATAAGCTCTATTAATAAATTTGCAGTTGAATTACACAAAAACTAATACAAAGCAAACAAAATAACACACAAAAGGGTTTCTTAAGGATTAAATATAACGTTCAAAAGGCATTAACGCTATCCTTATTTCAAACCTTATTTAGAAATTTCAAATACAAAACAAAACTACAGACAAGAAAATTGGGGGTAAATGTGGGCTTAAATTAGGAGAAAAACTTTTTTATGTAGAAATGAGAAACAAATATAAAACAAATCGACGCCTTTTCCAGATATAACAGAGATGTCAGAAAATATCAAATGATTATTGTGTTCATGTTTTTGGCCCAAAAAAGTTCATAACATTTCTACCTGTCTTATAGATTATGTTCACTCAAACACAGATAATGCCATAGATTTGGTTGTGTAAGACTATTATGCATTATTACCGTATACAGTACCCATACAGCTATATTATATATATTAGTGATAAATAATTTAATAGTAATGAAAAAATACGCTGGTAATTAAGAGTCACATAAAGTAGTAAGTAAACTCTATTATTATCGTTTTTAAATACGTTTTTGATCAGAAACTCTATATTTTTGTTAACTTTCGATTCGTATTTTACGTTATATTAGGAGCTTTTGAACCATTCAATGACTAATTGAATAAAAACTTTACTCTCGGAACTGCAGTACAAACTAATGTGTCATAAATTTTTTTGTTATACAGATATCGATCTTATTATTTGAGAAAATTTTTTTTTGTTTCTTTATACAACTTCCAGTCATTTATCTTACATAATATCACACGTTATGTGACAACTATTCTCATGTATGACTACAACAGGGAATTGCATTGTGTTTTGGGTTTTGGTTTTTCGTCGTCTCAAATCATTTTTGCATTTATTATGCATTTTGTGTTTAAAAATAGCAATTATTCGGCGAAAGAGTTGTGACAATAAATCAATACATATCATGTCTAAAAGGGTTGACCCTAACTATGTGTTCAGTAATTAAATATCGCTTTTTCACTATTTATTAAATTATCATTACTTTTTTATGCGACCATTAATTCTCAGTGTATTTCATCATTCATTTGAGATAATAATAGCAAAAATTTATGCAAAAACTAGTCTTTGAGATATAAAAACAATTTTTTTCGATTCGTATTTTACGTTATATTAGGAGCTTTTGAACCATTCAATGACTAATTGAATAAAAACTTTTCTCTCGGAACTGCAGTACAAACTAATGTGTCATAAATTTTTTTGTTATACAGATATCGATCTTATTATTTGAGAAAATTTTTTTTTCTTTATACAACTTCCAGTCATTTATCTTACATAACATCACACGTTATGTGACAACTATTCTCATGTATGACTACAACAGGGAATCGCATTGTGTTTTGGGTTTTGGCTGTTCGTCGTCTCAAATCATTTTTACATTTATTATGCATTTTGTGTTTAAAAATAGCAATTATTCGGCGAAAGAGTTGTGACAATAAATCAATACATATCATGTCTAAAAGGGTTGACCCTAACTATGTGTTCAGTAATTAAATATCGCTTTTTACTAATCAATTATTTATGATTAAAAAANCATTTATTATGCATTTTGTGTTTAAAAATAGCAATTATTCGGCGAAAGAGTTGTGACAATAAATCAATACATATCATGTCTAAAAGGGTTGACCCTAACTATGTGTTCAGTAATTAAATATCGCTTTTTACTAATCAATTATTTATGATTAAAAAACTGAAGGCTGAATGTAATTGCATTTATGATATAATAATGAATTATTGTTTATAAAGAATATTCACTCAAAACGTATTCGAAAAATATTCTTAAAGGGAAAATGTAGCCAATTATTGATACCTGAATTTAAATGTATACCTTGTATGGAAATTTAAGTAATAAAAATCACTATAAGAAATGTATAATTTGCATTAAAACCCAATGATCACTAAATGGCAATCAATGAAAACAAAAAAACGTCAAACGGATGGCACTAATTGATAAGACTTAGCAAACACCACTTCCATAGCTAACTGTCCATGTTTTCATTTTAAACTATAATTCAACATAGATAAAAAATTAATGTTATATTCTATAGATATTAATATATTGTACATTATATTTTATTTTGAAATTATGTAAAATTGTTTTGTAATAATAATATTTGTATTGAATTTCAATTAAACTATAATAATTTTAATTTAGTAATAAATACTGTTTTTATGCGACAAATATTTTAATGTCTGACTATAACAGGGAATCGCATTGTGTTTTAGGTTTTCACTTTTCGTGGTCTCAAATCATTTCTGATTATTAAATCATTTATTATTCATTTTGTGTTTAAAAATATAATATACTGTATAGAGAAATAGTTGTGACAATAAATCAATACATTTGATGTCTAAAAGGGTTGAGCCTAACTATGTATTCAGTAATTAAATATCGCTTTTTATTAATCAATTATTTATGATTTAAAACTGAAGGCTAAATAAAATTAATATAATTGCATTTACAATAAAATAGTATAATGATTCACTCATTTGTGATACGGATACAGAATATTCCTAAAAACTTATTCAAAGGGACTTAACCAATAATAATTATTGATATTTGTATTGAAATGTATACTCATAACTTATATTATGACAATTGTGTTAATAATATGGATATAATTTCACAATATCAATCAATTAGGTATCATACACAGTAGTCATTAATTTTAAACACTTTAGGAAGATTTGAAAAAGTTTTGTCAATATTCTGTATATTAGTAATACTGTATAGTGTTGAACGTAAGTTGTATTCAATTGTGATTCTCATGCAATAGTCTAAACATAATTGAAATGAAATGATCACTAAATGGCAATCAAAGAAAGCAAACAAACGTCAAACGGATGACACTATTGCTAAGATTTATATGAACGAGTCAACAGAACAGGTATCAAGCACAATTCTAGGCTAAAATTGCTAGCATAGCCTACCATTCCTGCTGCCTGTGCTCCACATAGTCTACCATACAATCACTATTTGTGAACATATTTGCTGAATGACTCACAATAGGGCTCTCATTGGGGTGTTTGCCGTAAACAACAAGTGAACGAAAATATTATGATTATTGTGTTTATGAAACAAATGACATTAAAATTTAAATGCATTCATAATTAATATTATAATAACATCATAATAACGGCTATTATTCACACAGCATCTTATAATTGATGATAAGTTGTATTGACTGTTGTATTGGCTATTAATGTAATATTGGTTCACAAATGTATTCAATGGTTTTGATGTCATATAATCGCTCAAAACAAAGGCATTTATGATAAACCAAATCAAACATGAGTTCATGTTTTTACGTGTGTTTAGACGCAAAAATAGTCAATGATTTCATTTGAAGCCATAATTAGCTAACTATTGATAAGTGAGAAAAATGTGATTCAAATCACTTGTGTTTTACACCATTGGATGGCAAACAAGTGTTGAATACATGTATCAATGCATTCATAATTAATATGAATTAACATTTACTGTACTAATCACATGTCTTTCACATTATATTTATAACAAAATAACGCCAAGATAGTTTTTAATGAGTTTTATATTATATTTATTTATTGAGTCACAAACTATTTGCTCAAAAAAAAAGTTTTCCTAAAGTTTTCCTCAATTTCTCATTATTTTTCATACATTTCTCATCAGTTTTTAAGTCATTTGGCGATCAGGTGCTCACTATTGAGACATCACTTGATAGCCACTTGAGTTGATCTCACAGTTTGAGTCTTCAGTTTATATACCATTAGTTTTATTTATACAAACCATCGTTGATTTCAATGATAATTGTCGTCAATTGATGTTATAATCACCGGAAAAATGTTGAATCAAAGACACTCTATACGAGCGGTACAAATACACCGCAAAGAGATTTGCAGCGATTTGGTGGTCGACTATGTCTTAAGCCATTTCGTCGACACCAATGTCTTCACCGAAGAGGAAAGGGATTTCATACTGAGTAGCGGTGACTCGATTGGCGATCCGATGGACGTGTTGGTGAGGGAACGGGTTCTTCACACACAGAACGAGACGTTCGTTGATTTGGTGCTCAAGAAGATGGAGACCATTGACCACACGTTCACTACATTCACGTATATACTGTTCAAAGACGACAACTATCCGTGGATTGCGAAGAGATTGTTGGCGTTGAGGGAAGACGAGAGACGGATGGAGGACATGAACCACCAGATGAACGAATTGGATCTCATCAATGGTTTGCCCACACGTTTCGAGATCGTTGACCACAATCTCATGGCCACCATCGGGAAGCCGGTGGACGTGTCGTTGCATTTGTACGATAGGCTTAACAATCTGGTGATCCCCGACCCTAACACTCATGAGCCAAAGTTGACCATCAAGTTAGTCATTCTTCCACTTCTAATGCAGACGTTTGTAATAATTTTGATTTTACTTTTCAGTGGATTTAATGTCAGATATTATAAATTGAAAACAATTGACAATAAACTGGTCATCAAGAATATTATCATTTCCGGACAAATAGCCGAAAGTGTAAGAAATATCTATTCATTAAATGAATTACAAATTATTTACGATTCTGTGATTTATGATTAAACAGCAAAGAGATTATACCTCGAGATTAGAAATAGATATACCGGCCATTGGTTGGAGGGAACAGGTGTTAATCGACTTGCAGTGCGACAGAAGTACTCGTCCCACAGAGATCTCAATCGGATTCCTGGTATCCAATGCTATCAAACAATTAGATGATTACAGAGTTCTCTGTCAGAGGGAGAAGCATATTGTCGACAAACTCCAAGAATTAGGTGAAGACATCAGTGATCATAACGACGAACCAAACGTCGAAAGGAAATTAAATAATTATAAGAAGTTATTCGTTGAATTGAAAAATGAGGACAGAATTCGTGCCATTCGTGGAAAGGGGACGCCGACGGCTCCTAAATGGGAGGGCGTGTTGGGACGGGTCGTGCACTTGGCTTATGTGGAGGACCCCGAGTTGGCTAAAAGTATTTCGTGGTTTCTTCGCGATCACATGACTTGTATTGTCACTACAACTTCAGAATTGGCACAAAAAGTGTGCGAAGAGTTGTCAGGCGTTCAGCAGACGCTTCCATTGGATTGCATTCCAGACCACGAGTTATATTCACCGCATCTTCCGTCCAATCCATCCATTTCTGTAAAGTTTGCCACAAATTATTTAAAGTTTAATCAAGAGTTTCAAGAATTGGATAAAGTGTTTGCTGCCATTTTGGGCAATACTTTGATCATTGATGACATGGAAGTGGCGAAGAGGTACAGACAACTCGTCATTCGAGATATAAGATGTCCCACTATTATCACCAAAACTGGAATCTTATACGAGTCGGGAATTATCGACTCATGTCTTCCGACAGATATTGTTATGTTTCAGTCGCCGCCAAATCCGGACTTAATTCGTGTCGAGACAGTGATCGAACTGTTGAAGCGATTCCTATTCCTTCGCCGAAAGCGTGTCAGTGAATCCACGTCACGATATGATGACGATAGGGATTCACCGCCCAGTCTGTCACCAAAAGCACATTCTCTTAACGAACCCTTAGAGTCACCCGCAAAGAAAATATGTACTGGATATAATTTCTATTAAATTGTTTATATATTTACCATAAAATTAATTAACAAATTTATAATTTAAATATTTTTCAAATCTCAGCCATTTTTCGTTGAATGTTTCAAACATTAAAATGTTAATAAAGTGATCACAATTGCATTCAGATATACCGGTATTTATTTATGGCTTAAATACTCGAGTTATCGACGAATCAGTACTGAAACTCGAAGTAAACATTTTGAATTAGAAAATAAAAGTTCAAACAGGGTAGTTTTATTTTTTAACATTTAGATAGTTTGTGGTCTCATTCTTATAGGTCTCATAAAATGAAATCATTTCGTGAGATATTCTCGGTTTAATTGACTCCAACGCCGATTCGAAGTGATTTAATTCAACGAATTTGCAGTTTATGTCAGCTGTCAGTGCGATTAGGCCGGCCTCTTGACACACACCAGTTATCTCAGCGCCGGTATAGCCTTCAGTCCTGACGGATAAGTCTTTAAGAACCTCTTCGAGCGGCTGTTCAAACTTAACGGGCATTCTTCGGGTCCTAATCCTTAAGATCTCATATCTGGTCTCCAAATCAGGTAACGCCACGTAAAGTATGGAATCGAGGCGTCCGGGCCTTAACAGAGCCTTATCTATCATATCGGGCCGATTGGTGGCGGCGACGATCACCACTCCATTCAGTTGTTCGATGCCATCGATTTCGGTCAACAGTTGGGCCAACACTTTGTCGCCGACAGTGTTTGCGTTACCTCTCTCTGCGGCCAACGCATCGATTTCGTCGAAGAATAGTATGGACGGCGAGGCGGCCTTCGCTTTGCGGAACACCTCACGAACCGCTCGCTCCGACTCTCCGACCCATTTGTTGAACAATTCCGGACCCTTTATGGCCAGAAAGTTGAGACCACTTTCGGTGGCCAACGCCTTACCGATCATTGTTTTGCAACAACCGGGCGGTCCGTACATAAGCACCCCTTTCGGCGCCTTTATGTCCAACCGCTCGAAGGCTTCGGGGTTAGTGAGCGGCCACACCACCGATTGGGTCAACTTATTGCGCACGGAATGCATTCCTCCGATGTCTGACCAGAACACGTTCGGCACCTCTAAACTGATTTCCCTCATCGCTGACGGACGGATCGACTTCAGCGCCTGTTTTAAGTCCTTTTCGGTGATTACGAGTCGATTGTTGTCTTTGAGTGCAATGAGAGCCGCTTCGCCGCACGACAGCACCAGATCAGCGCCGGTGAAGCTGTGGGCGCTTTGGGCCAAACCTGACAGCACTTCGTCACTGATATCACTATTGGTTTCATTTAAGTGTTTCCTTAAAATAGCGGTCCTTTCGGTAGGCATCGGAACGGGAAACTCAATCTCGCGGTCAAGCCTTCGCGGCCGCCGAAGACTCGTGTCAATCAGATCCGGTTTATTAGTGATGGCAATCACCACAATGTGCTTCTCTGGCGGCAAATGTAGGTTTTCAACTGTGTTATATCGTCAGTTAGCGAAGAGGACAAGACGACTGCTGAAGAACAACCTGCGTTAGTAAAGTTTCAATAGGTTTGTCTGTTCTGAACCTGAGTAAAGCTACCGCAAGAGAAAGATTGTCTTCAAATTGGTCTCAGATGTGGCAAAACTTTTAGCCAAAATAGTGGCGCAATTGATGTGAAGACAAAACATCTTTTGCATGAATTGGTTGCAGAAGGCCTTCACTGCCAATGACTTCCCGGTGCCGGTCGGCCCATACAGGAGCGCACTTCGCGGCCATTGGACACCCATTTGTCTTATCTCTGAACTCTTGAGGAGTGGTAACTCAATCACCTCTCTCAAGGCGTTCAACTGTCTCTCGTATCCAATGATATCCGACAACACAATGGGTTTGTCTTTCGGTGTCTGCTGTCTCTTCTTGCGGTGACTTTTGGACCGATTCTTGTGATTGGATTCAGTGGACGGTGTCTTCGAGTCGCCGCCGCTCTTAGGTGTGGATCCGTTCATCGAAAGCAATGACAAGTCATTAGTCAAATCGTTTGTGTCATTCATATCGACCACTAATTGACGTATGATTTGAATGACAATTTAAATTCATTTATGAAAACAATTAAAACTTTGAATTCAATGTTTTCAGAAAGTGAAGTGCCGAGTGTAGTTGTGTTTGTTGTGCACAAACAGTACGTTAGGTAACGAGTGTGTAATGCAGTTACAAATGTTAGCAAACGTAACAAAAGTGAAAACTAACGTAACAGACTTGAGACCTATTATTGGCATTCAATTGACTCTTCGTGTCATTTGACACGACATTTGGTGCCAAATAAGTCACCCATTCCTCCACAGAGTCCATACATCACAGACCAGTGTCTGTCTGTCTGTCTGTCATGTCGTTTCTTCCGGCGGGCGCTGAGGAGTACAGCGACGAAGACGACGACTATTTGGATAACTATAACCATTACCACAAAGAGGTGACCATCACTTCCCCTGTCGTCGAGTCCACTCCCATCACAACTTCAAAACCTAAACCAAAGGTTTGTCTCGAGTTTGTAGCCATTCATGTGATCATTGGTTTCCATTGCAGCGAAATGTGTGCCTCGAGTCGATTGCCTCTTCGGATGGTGTCATCTGTTTGAGTGACATCCGGATGGCTATTATCAATGGAAACGCAGACTATTTGAAGCAATTGATGGAAAAAGACAACAAGTTCTTCGTGGACACCATTCTGTCGGCCGGTTGGACACCACTCTACATGCGGTGGTTGCCACCTGTGTTTCTGTAGCAAGTGATAGACGACCTTTCTCCTCGACTAGGATTGATAGTGTTGCCAAACAGACTTGGTAACTCAGCGCTTGGTCAGAAAATTAATACTTACAGTTGTGAAGACAACTCGACGCCATTGATGGCCGTCTGCGGCGCTCGCAGTGATGTGAGTGAAGAGGATCTGATTGATTGCGCCAAAAGTCTGATCAAATTTGGCGCAAATGTGAACGCTTTGGATAAATACGGAAACTCTGCGCTCATATATGCGGCCAAAGCCGGGAAGTGTGGTCTCACTCAAGAGCTCATCGATAATAACGCAGAGATTAATCGTGCAAACAATGAGGGCTGGAATGTAGGCATTGCTGAAGACATTCAATAGATTTGTATCTAATGTTTGGTTCAAAATCATTGCAATCATTAGGCACTGCATTGGGCCGTAAGGGAAGGTCAGGGAAAGGTAATCGAGAGACTGCTTAGCAGTAATGACATTGACATCACTCTGAAGACGAAGTCATCGCAAACTGCGGCACAAATCGCTGAATCCAAAGGCCATCAAAAAGTATTGAATGCTTTTTATAAACCGATAATAATTGTTGGCATTAATCCAACGCTTATTTATAGATTAGTATTATTTTGGAAAATATTAAGAATAAAATTGACGACAACGCTAATGGTGCGGAAGATGATATCAATAGCGATAATACGAAACTGAGTGAAGAGGAGGTGAAGATTTTGGAGGATTATGTCAGACCTGTGGCTGAGATCAAGTGCCGAGAAAAGTCACAACCAAAGCCAACCAATCAGTAATTTATTTGATATAAGTGTCTAATTATTATAGATTTAATAGTTGTAAACTTTGTAAACAGTGGTGAATTGGAGGAGTTCTTGCGACAATCAGATCGCATAGAATTGTTGCCCAAATTCTTGGAGCATAACATTGGTTATCAGGATTTGGTGACCAATGCTGAGGTGGCGCTCCTGAAGATTGGAGTCACCGAACCGGCAGACATACGAAAGATTTGCGCAAATATTGTGTTACTTCACGGCCAGGACTGGAAGAGGGAATCACTCAAAGACATAAGTCTTAAGACTACTATTACGTAAGTCTTTGTATCAATTGGTAGTCCTTTGCTGAGCATTATTGTGGATTAGGTGTCCGGATATGTTGTGTGTGATGTCTAATGTGGCCAATCATTTGCATCGAATCGATCAGACGGTCGCGTATCTCAAGAACACAGTCACTAAAAGGCCGGACATAATGGGTCTCAACAATGAGGTGTCGACCAAACGCCAGGTTTATAACGAAATACTTCAGGCGCTGTCCAACTCTCGAATGCTATACCAAGAGATCCAATCACTTCGCGATGTTATCAATGCGATTGAAGACACGAGTGAACCGCAAACTCCGGATCTCCTTTCCATTCCATTCACATTAGAGGATGAGATCGACAATAAGTGTCGCAAATCAACGAAGTATTCCAAAGGCTTTCTCTTCAGTCTGATAGCTGTCAGTGCTCTCAGTGTTTATGTCGTAAAATACGGTAAAATGAATGGAGAAAATACATTCACTTTTATGTTGAATTCAATCCCGAGTACACTCTCCAAACTGTATTACAAATTTTATTAAAGCTCTAATCATCGAAAAATAACACAAAGTGTTGAGATTTATGTTTAAAAATGTTTTGTTTATATAAAACCATTATTTAGAAGCGAAACGCAAACTTAGATATCATTTAACTGTTAAGTAATACACAAATAAGTTGTAATTAAAGCACAGAAACTATGAGAAATCAAAGAAAATCACTTATTTATGTAATTCTGTTATAATTTATAAAAACATTTCACTTTACGATGGGATTACTTGTCTTTCTTGACGTCATCAACATTTGACAGTTTGTTGTATTCGCGCTATAAATGCAACAAAAAAGTGAATTAATCTGAGAAACAGCTGTCATATGGTGTGATCGCACCTGTAGTTTGTCGTGTTCGACGAGCAGTCTGTCGTACTCCTCGGACACGGCTTCGGCCTGTTTTTTCATAGACTCGCAGTTGACGCGGTATCGGATGAGCTCCTCCTTAGCCGACGCCAACTCTTCCCTCATTTTCCTTAAGTCTTGTTCTTGTTTCTCGATTTTCTTATTGCCTTCGTTTTCGTTGAGTGTCTCCCGCGATGTCTGTGTTGTCGACAACTGTTCCAACAGTTGCTTCGAGTGCTGAGACGCGCCCTTCGCCTGTTTGATGGACGCCTCGGCCTGGGCTTCGAGTTGGGCCTGACATCCGATCAGTACAACCAGTCGTCGGATTACACTAAACGGTGATATGGTGTGTGATATTTGTTTCAAATTAATGGCACAAAGTATGCATTTCGTCGATAATTGAGAGCAAACTATTTCATGCATGCATTCAACCACTAAAACAAGTGTGGGATGTGTTTATCACAACTAATTCTTAGGGCTTTCTAATGTATTGACAGTTTAGTGAAAGAGTAAAGTTTGAAAAGTACTTAAATGTCAGACAAACACTTCATTGTCTGCTATCTGTTGACACGTATATGTTATCTCTATTACCGGTATAATCTCTAGACATTGAAAGGACTCAGGGCTCACACATTGTATGCATTTTAATGGATACTCATATCATCATAAATATTTGTCCAAACATTCAGATGAACACAAAAAGGACACAATAGAGGAGAGAGAGAGAGAGAGAGAGAGAGAGAGAGAGAGCTAAGGAAGTAATGAATGGTGTCTTACAGGCAGAGGAAGAGAGCGAATCCTGCGATATAGAAGTTGCGCTGAGCTCTGAACAGTTTCATGGAGTGTTGGAGTTCAGCATCCAGGTGCCCGTGGTCTGAGTCGTGCACCTTCTCCGACGAATACTTAGACATCTCACGGATCGAGTCTGGAGTCAAACATAGCACCAGATTATGGATTACAGACACATATAGTTAGTCAGAGAGACAGAGACCGGTCTGAACGCCGGCTCACAGACAATACATACCAACGAAGAGCAGAACCAATATAACGATAAATACCATGAAATAGAGGTTCGCCTGACTCTCAATGCTTCTTAAGAACCGAGATTTGAAGAACTTTTGCCATCTTTTAGGATAAATACAGACCAATTGATTATGAAATATGAGTGAATCAATGGATCAGATAATGGACTCACGTTTTGGATGATATAAAGGGAACCAATAAGAGGACCACAAAAGCGATCTCAACGTACAGGAAGACGGCCACAAGAGTCCACTGGACAGACATCTGGATCTATTAACTGCCAATCAATTGGTATTCAATGAATTAGTTCACAAATTAGTGATACAATTGATATTGTAATGTATAATACATAAATTAGCAATGTTAATTACTGTATGTGAATTAAATAAGTGAATTGAACTCAAATCAATTGAATGATTTACCTTGATAATGTCCAAAAAGTGACAATGAATGTGTGGATAGTGTTGTTAAATGAGGATAAGTGCTAATTATTGCTATTTATATGACTATTACTAATAGTATTAGTATTGTATTCAGTGTTTACTCAAACAATGATAGCATTTAGGGCTCACTTTAAGTTGACGTTCACTTTAAAGTGCATTACATTTGCAACCATTGAGTCATTCATTACATCACACAATGAATGCCTACAAAACACACACTAGACGTCACTTACGCCACAGACAGACAGTGAATGCATTGAAATAGTCGACAACTTTGCCTATGATTTCAATGTAACGATCAAAACTAATTTTAATCAATTTTTTTATAAACTATTCAAAACATTTCATTATTTCTGTTAGTTTTTGTGCAATTATTTCATATTAAGTAATTTTAATTAAATGACTGAAATATTGGATTAGAAATTGATATTGAAATGTTGGTTAAGTTCATTCAACTAACATAATTGTCCTAGTAAAAAAGTTATTTTTGTTCAATTTAGTCGGTTAATTTTCTGCAACATTATGTCGTTATATCGGATGTGGATTATAACTTATCAATACATAAATATTACATGTATTATACAGTATATAATAATTATAAATCAATAATTTTTAATTTTAACTAGTTTCAAAATAATACAGTAATAATAACAAATCTCTAAATTGTATTACTACTAAGTTATTAATATTTAAAAATGTATGTGGTGATTTTTTGAAATATAAATATCATACAATATTATGACAAATATTTTAGGTCTAAGTTTTAAAAAAGTTATATTGAAATAATAAAGTTTTGTAACAATTAATGTATTATTTTGATTGCGATGCTCATGATTGTGTCATAAAACTTGCATGATGAGATTTATCTAGCAAATATAAGTCAGTTAATCATTGTAACAAAACTCGATCCAATCAATACTTGCAGTAAGTATTGTAAGTATTTAATATAATGTCTATTATTTTATTGAATCCATAAAAAGCAATCAAATTGAATGTAATAAAAATATATTGTCTTTCATTTCATTTATTTCAGTACTGATTAAGTCATCGAAAGAATTATATCTTTATATTGAATCGAAAATCAAGTCATGTATCACTCAATGAAATAATTTTATTATAAAGAATATTAGAAAAAATCTATAGTTTTAAGGGAAAAATTAATTATTAAATAATAATATTTAAAACTAATATTTTAATAGAGAATACTAATGATAAGGAATTACAATATAAGAGAATTTCACATGAAATCAATAAACTGTTTGCAAACGTATCCGATATTAAGCGCTATTCAGTAGTTATTCCGTAAGAATAGGATATATTGTTGTCTTCAATGTCTCAATGGATTCCATTTAATTCGTAATCAAATTGATCTTGATCAATTTTGTGATCAACTTTCCAATCAATTGTTAATTTCAAATCAAATAATGAGTTTTCACTCGAAATGCAATCAAAGTTTAAATTTTGTTCAAATTTTATTGATATTTTTATTTATTTATTGTATTGAATGTACAAATGGAGACAAATTACAGAAATGTGATTTCCAGAAATACCCGACCGTCGGGTGCCGTAACTCAGATACTCAAGAATGTGACAAAAAGAGCCAAACCTGTAAATGTGGTCCAAAATATCCCATCAGTCTCTTGAACGGCATATGTCTTCAGCATAAGGCCATCAACCAGTCGTGTATGGGTTCAGTCGAATGCAATCACATCCCAAATGCCGGATGTTTTGGTTTGGACACCGAATTCAAGGATGACTTCTGGATACTATTGTGGTATAGGTTTGGGTTCACTAATCCGGGTAAATGTGATTGCGATCATAATAATGGTTACGAGTACAACAAGAACCTGGGACTCTGTATCCGGACGGTGGTCATTGGCGGCAAATGTATGACTGGTTGGGACTGTTATAGCAAACTGTCTAATAGTATGTGCAATGAGTACCATCGCTGTGAATGCAGATCCGGATACTATTATGACACGTATACGGATTCCTGCAAATCACAGCTCAATTACGACGACCACTGTTTGACAGCCGAGGGCTGCGGAGACACGGCTTTGGTTTGTGTGAAGAATGTCTGCAAATGTAAGCCTGGATTTCATTTCGACAAATACCAGAGCAATAGATGCGAACCAAACGAAGGGCACGACTGTTCCGATGACGAGGAGCTCGTGGATTGTGTCAAGAGAAACATCCAATTGATTAAAATGGACTCCAATCCAAATAAGTTTGATTTGATAGAACCGCCCAGAATTTACTCCATATTCGTCATTCTGGCGCTTTGGATATGTTTGCTGTTTATTCTGGGAAATGCCAAACGAGGTCTACGTCTGGTGGAGCAGTCCATACGCCGAGATCAGGCCTCGCAGTACCGACAGTGCGATACATGTGTCGTCCAGTCGATGGTCGAGTCCGAGGACCAGGAGTTGGCAGCGTCTCAGCTGTCACTGCAGTCGGATGTGAGCGCAGCTATTAATCAGAGTTATCCTCCGCCGACCTTTGATGAGCTCTTCCCCACCGATTGCCAGACATATAGCGACGAACCGCCGACTTATGAAGAAGTCATTCAATTCGATAAACACAAGAATTTTGTCGTTTAACTCGATTACGAAGACTGATGACAGAGAAGGGGTGATAAGACATCGAAATCGAAATCATGAGTTTGTAATCTAATTTGAAAATACTGTACTTTTTTCCTGTATTCACTCCACAGAGTATCCAATCTATCATTTTTTGTATAGTCTGTCAAATACCTGAAGCAATAAAAAGCATTTTTCTTTTGTTTGTTATATTATTAAATTATAGTAAAACTCATTCATATCTCGAAAGGAAATGTTGGAAAACATATTTCGGTCGGAATTTTCAATTTATTTTGAATATTAAATTAAACTAATGTTTCGTATAAGAAATTTATTAGGAATTTAATAGGAAAAGCCGAATCACTTGTTTGTGCAATAAATTTGAGTTTTTATTTTTGTGACACAAAGACATTTGTGGGGAATATGTATTGAAATATAAAAATAACTTATATAATGTATGAAGCAAAAATTCTTTACATTATACAATACAAATATATGACGTTAATATTATATATTATTTTATAAATATATCTTTTATTCTGTAATTCAATTCAATTTAGAAATATTAAATGCGAGTAACAGTAGAGCCCACGTGAATTTAAAATTATATTTAGTATTGAATTTGTTGAATATTATTCAGCAGACATTAACTTACGCTGACTATGAGTTTGGTTAGGATTCTGAGCGAGTAATGTGAATGTGAATGCAATTCATAACGCATCTGATAGTCGACACAATAAAAATCAATAGTCTATGCTTTCAATTATAAACTATAGCCTAACTGAGTGCCACAGAATAATACAGAATATTTGACTGGTTATTACGCCTGTATTCACACAAAAGTCAAATATTTAGCATTATTTTGCATTATATAACTCATATAACATTATATCGAGATTTTGAATCACGTCTAACAGCCAACGTGTTTTCATATCAGTTATATATACTGTTTCAGTGGCACTGGTATTACGGCACTGGTATTACGAGAGAATTCTTTTGAATCTTTTTTATCCTAAAGGTTAATGGTATGCAATTCATAGCAAAATAGTTGAAAACTTATAATTCTATCGATTTTTGTGACTGCAATACTTGATTCATATCACTCGTGAGTTATGAATACTTTTTGCGGAATATATTTGTTATACAACGGAAAATATCGCTATTTTTTGTGCAAAATATTTCACTCCTTAATGCCTTCATTTAATGGCATTTTTCAATCTGTGTATGAATTGTCGAATCGATTCTTGAGATTTTTTTGCCTCATTTTTTAAGTTTCTCAATCTAATGATGTCTTTCGGATTATATGTATACAAAACATGTTTGCTTTGAGAATAAAGTGCACACAATATTCAAAATCAGAAACAATTGAAAATTTATTCATAAAAATAACAGTTTCAAAAATAAAGTACAAACTTATAGTTAATGTTTTGCTTAGTCTATAGGAATAGTTGTGTAAATCTTGTGGTTCTTTCGGTCATTTATCTGCCGGTATTCCAGACAATCATTTTCCAGTCATTAGTGCAATATTTTTAGACATTAAGAGATAAAACGAGTAATCATTTAGAAATCATATCATCCATTCAATGCCCGCAATAGATGTCTATCTAAAGGTATTTGTCTTGAATGGCAACACTAAACCTAAGGCTAAGACAACTCATGCAGAAGTAATACCTCAAAAGAAAAATTGATTTGTAGGCCAATAAGTTGCTAATTGCAAAACACATGAGATCTTATGATTGTATTAATGATTAAATGTTATATAAATACACTGTTTTCTAACATCAAATAAGATAGAAATGTGAAAAACAATCTCAAATCATAAACATTTCTATTTAAAGACTGTTTGTTATCGAGTCTCTAAATTTGTATAATGTATACAAAACTATACAGAATGTAATCAAATGTAAATTGTTTTAAAGATATTTAGTTTGCTTTTTTGATGTCTCTTTTCCCTGGCTATAAGTAGGGATACTTGAGATGCTAATAATTGTTTTTATGTTAGTTTTGTAGCGAATCTATTTGGGAAATGAAGATGTGATACGTGTTTGTGTTGTTTTCTACATTCAAAAGATTTATTCACTAAATTAAGTTTAATTCGTCTTTTCACTCAAGTGTATTATTTTATCGTACCAGTGCACCATGTACATTGTACAGTATATAACCCTATATTATATTAAAGTTTTCAGTAATTTTTAGGATTCATTCAATTTTAAAGGTTTAATGGAGGTCTCCAAGATGAGATCATTGAAAACGTGATTTAAATTGATTTTTTATATACTCCGCTATTGATTAGATTTTCAATCATAGATAGAGAACATACAGTAATTACACTCTATATACCCTGATTATCGGGAGATTGTACGCATTCAATAATTACCGAAAAATCATGTTTTTGCTCGTATAATACGCATCCGGCGTATAGTACGCATAGATTTTGAAATTAAATATAAGCCTAAAAATGTTTTAAATATGGCCATTACTTCAAAACATGTCATAATAATTAATATATAATTGAATTAACTGTTGACAGAAATTGAAGATTTGATCATTTTTAAGTGATTACCATTATAAATGCTAAATTACTAAAACTTAATGATTTTGTTGCCATGAAAATGATCAAACCATCAAATTGATTATATTTTACATAAGCTAGAG